GAGAGCAGAAGGGAGAAAGGGACTTGGCCCTCTGGATACCTTCCTTCCTCTCTCAAGGGAGAGCATGGGAGAGAAGTCACATGCCCCTCCTCCTCCTGACAACATCCAAACAGATCTTTAGGCGCCACACACTTCCCCTGGGAGTGTGGGTGGCCCTGTGGGTACTATATCTTACAGCTCCAGAGATGGCCCCCAGCCCCTGAATAACCAGGAGAGCACAGACCAGTTGCCTAGGAAGTTTTTGCCTGGGTTGGCGAAACTGGTCTTGAATTCAAGCTAAGGAGGCAAGGCTTTTGGCCGTTTTTTTTTTCTCCTTGGTCTTTCAGATAGACAGGATTGGCCCTGAGTCTCCAGTTTAGCTTAACAAGGGCTACATTTTTAGACGGTCTATGGCCCTAACAGTATCATTTCTCCAGGGCTATGGTGAAGGGCATTGAGAAACCAGGGCCCATAGAGGCCTGCAAATTCTACTCTCCAAGGATAGGGTTGGCCCTGGGGGGTATGGCCCACCACTCCCTGAGCCCGCAGACCCCAAACCCATGATTGATATGAAAACTTGTCCTGCCTTTCTGGCTTGGGAGCAAGTAGGTGCATGGGGATTGCCCAGATCTTACATCCCACATTCTAGCTATCCCTGAAGAGTTCGTTTCTTCAGGAGGCCCATGAAGCCAGAATGATTGTCTTTCATATTGTCATATTTCTCCGCCCTTAGTTTCTGGGGCCTGCCCCATTCATGAAGACAGGGTCTATGACACCTACTTGGGTCAGGGATGGCCACCCGGAATCTGCCAGTAGTTTTCACCATCAGTCCAGTGGTCTGAGGCCTCACATGGCTCTCCAGAGTCACCTGCTGTTTCCAAACCCCTACTCCAGGCCTGCCAATCCCAGTATTCTGTGAGGTGATGCCACACCCATGCATGGAGGTGTCAGTGTGGGTGTGCACGCATACACGTGTTCGTATGTGTCTGGTAAATGTACATAGCTGGGAGAGGGAGTGGGGATGGGGACTCAGGCCCCTGGCTGCCCCCCACCTCCCCATCCCTCACTAGGGTCCACTGCCTTTTCGTGTATCATCTCTGGAGTTGAAGAAAACTGGGGACTTTCACAGAGCATTTGCACTGATCGCTGTGTATCTGTGAAAGTCTACCTTGGAATGGAACGGATGTGGTGTGTGGAAGTGTGTATGCTGACACGTGTGAATGGATTTTTTTTTTACAATAAAAGAGAACTTTTATTTTATTTTCTGGAACTTCTTGGCTCTTGCCTAGCTTGAGTTAGATCGGTGGGATGGTACATGGGGAGGGGTCTAGCAAGGTTGGCTGCAAGGCTATGAAGTGGATTCCACTGGCCCACACCGTCTGCTTTCCATCTCACAAGCATCCGTTTACCTTTCCTGTGGGCCCAACTTTGGGCCAGGTTCCATGGGGGATTGTTGTTGTTGTTCAGTCATTTCAGTCACGTTTGACTCTTTGTAGCGCCATTTGGAGTTTTCTTGGCAAAGATACTGCAATGGTTTGCCATCTCCTTCTCTAGTTCATTTTACAGATGAGTAAACTGAGGCAAACAGGGTGAAGTGACTTGCTGAGGGTCACATAGCCAGTAAGTGTCTGAGGCCAGATTTGAATTCAGGAAGAGGAGTCTTCCTGACTCCAGACCCTGGCACTCTATCCACTGTGCCACCTACCTGCCCTCCTGGGGGGAAGGCATCTCCAGCAGCCTGCAGTCTCACTAGGGACACAAGCACATAAATCCACGAAAAGGAAACAACAGTAGCCTGTAGTGCCCAATGACCAAAGCAGAGGAGCGCGATGGAAAGGATGGTGGCTTTGGAGTTGGAATCCTGGCTCGACCCGCTCTGCACCAGTGTGAAATTGCGTGTGTCATTTTTAATGTCTCTGGGCCTCAGTTTCCTTATCCTTATATGAGAGACGTGGCCTAGATGGCCTCTCAGATCCCTTCAAGCTCTAAATCTAAAAGCCTATGGATGAGAGGAGAGATGTGTGTGGGCTAGGAAGGTTAAAGAAGATCCCACATCTACACTGTGTGGCTCAGATAAATCCCTTTTCTGGTTCCTCATCTATAAAATAATAATACTTAACTATATCCCAGGGTTGTAAAGAAAGTGCTTCATCAACCTCAATGTGCTATAGAAATGAGCTTTATTTTTCCTTGACCTAGTCTCTAAATGATAGGCAGGATTTGGTGAGGGAACAGAATGATGGAACAGAGGCCTACACTTCCCTGGACCAGGCCTGCAAATACGAATGAGCTTCAGGGCCTGGGCAGGAGGCTGGACAAGAGGAAGGAGGCTGATGTTGCTGGAGTGGAGGGTTAGTAGACAACAGCAATGGGAATGTTGAGGAAAAAATGTTAATACTATTACTGTATTACTGCAATTCAGGCTAGTCTGCCAGAAACTATTTTACTTACTTTATTATTAATTTACACCCAAGTCATTTCCAGCTTGGAGAGAAAAATGTTCAAACTGGCAGAGTCTCTCCCCTCCTCCGCTTGCGCCACTTGATATGACTCTTTAATCCAAGACAGTTTCAGGTGACGCTTATGGGAATCTCAAACAAGGAAAAGACAAGTCAACAAGCACTGACTGTATTTACTATGCACCTACTACGTGCCAGGCCCTGTACTAAGTGCTGGAGATACAAAAAAGGCAAAACCAGTGCTTGCCCTCCGGGAGCTTACAGTCTAATGGGAGGAGACAACATGCAAACAGCGGCATACAGAGAAGATACAGACAGGATAAATGGAGAGACAGCACTGGCATTAAGGAGGACTGAGAAAGGCTTCTTGCTGAAAGGACCCCCATCCTTCTCTAGGCCCCAGGGAGAGTCTTCTGTGTGAAGCCCTGGGGAGGAAGGTGAGAGGGCTGGCTTTCGGGAATCAGAAGTGGTGCATGTAGCCTTATGTACACAGCGTACTAGATACCCTTTCGTTGGGAGCCACTGAGGCAAAGGCAACCTTTAAGACCTATGCGCCTGGGTTAAATCTGGGATACTGGTTGCTATATAACCCTCAAAGGGCACTTGTGGAAACTGTGCCTTTTACTACTATTCCAGTCCCTACTGCCCTCCCCCGGTCCTTACAACCACCATCTGCTTCCTGCGTGCCCTGATCCTTCCCACCAGCACTTCCAGCCTCTCGTAATAACATGTCCCACTCCCCAACTTGACCAGGCAGGGGACTGTTTCAGGAATTATGCTTCTGCGTGGCCCCAGAAAACAGAACAAGCAGCAATGAACAGAAGATACAAGAAGACCTCCAACTCAATAAGAAAGAACTTCCTAATGCTCAGTGCTCTCCAATAATGACAGAGCTCCCTAGGGCCCACCTCCCTAGAGATGCTTGCTCTAGAGCAGAGCCTGGATGGCCTCTCCCCTCGACCCTGTCAGGGATGCTAGAAGAGAATAATGACTGGGGTGAGGACTTGGCAAAGTTGATCCTAAGGGCTTTTTGGTGGTCATTATCGCCTCCCAGCTAGCCTGCTTCCAAGAGGTCAATGATAGGTTTAGCCATTGTGCCTGTATTCCCTTTTAGAGTTATTAAGACCTGGCCACCAGAGGGCATTCTTTAGTCGAACGAAAGAAGAATCTTCAAGATTCCTTCTCAGGTGAGCATTTTTCATCTGCATCATCACCCGTAATTTGATGCTGGCATTTATTTTGAGAAGAGAATGGTTGTTAAACTATTGAAAATTCTCAGTGCAACTGGGCTTTGGTATCTTTTCCAGGTCAGTGTTTATCAAACAGCAATCCCCCAACTTCTTAGCCTCCTGAGACCCTCTGCTTCTGGCTTTTTCTATTTTTGATGGGTTTTTGTAAGTCTGAAGGAAGCAACCCAGTCAGCAGTCCTTGGCTCAGAGCCCTGATTCTCCATGTAGTGTTGACATAGATGTTTCTAGCAAAGTTAGCCTATCACCCTAGAAGCCTCGGAGGCCTGACATATATGAATGAGGCCCAAACAACTATCAGCAGCAATGGGAAAATCAGTATGTGCTCTCTCAGGCACCAGAGCACACCTGGAGTACTGGATTCAGTTCTGGCCTACACACTTAAAGGAAACACAGAAGAGTCTAAGCTAGGGGTGGGGAACCCTGGTACGCAGATGCTATCTTTCTGACCTGAATCTAGCTGTACAGTTCCTATTTCTAGGATGCTGTAACTACAGAGCATTTTCACATTTATTATCTTATTAGACTGATTTCCTTGCTCCCAGTCTCTTCCCTCTCTAATTATCCTCCAAGAAGCCACCTTAATAATCTTCCTAAAAGTATAAGTCTTGCCATGTCACCTCCAGCATTTAAGAACTTTTAGTGGTTCCCTATTGCCTTTAGTATAAATACAGGCTTTTCATAATTTGGCTCTAATTTATCTTTAATAGATTTTTTTCACATTATTCTTTTTCACACACACTAGATTCCACCCAAAGTAGGACCACTTGCTTTACTCAAACTTAGTCTATTCCTTCCAATTCCTGGCTCCCTGCCTTGCCCTTGTCCATTTCCTATGGTTGGAATGCATTCTCTTCCTCACTGTCACCTCTTGGAATCCTTAGCCTCCTGTGAGGCTCACCACCTACAGGAAGCCTTTCCTGACCTTCCTCTAGGACACAGTATTGTCTCCCTCTTCAAATGATTTTGCATTTACTTATCTATGTCAACACTGCTTCCTTCTCAGAAGAAAGTAAGCTCCTTGAGGTGAGGGACTGGTTTTCCTTGTTTCTGTCTCCAGCATCTAGCACATCCTGTATGTGCTGATGGTGCTAAAACAGGAAATGCAATCTTCTGATTCCTAAACTAGTGTTTTTCCCACTGTAACACATTCAGTTCTCTCTTCCCATCTAGCACCCCCATCATGTCCAGAGACATGGACGAGGAACATTTGCACCACCAAAAAAAAAAAAAAAACACAACACAAACCCCCCCCAAAAAAACAAAACTACAACATAAAACAAACCATGAAAACAAAGCCAACAGCAGACACCTCTCAAAATTAAAAAAAACCATTTCATTTATTGAAAGGAAAAACGCATGATCCCCGTGCAGAATCAAACACGAAATCCCCCCACAAGGCCCTGCCTGAGCCACGTCTGCACTTAACAGAAATACAACAGGCACCAAACACTTACAGCACCAGCAGCTCCTGGCGGCTGCATTATACAGCGATATTCTGGTTACTGGGATCTGCCACCTGGCAATCTTACACTGAATTAAGACTTTCTACTCTCTTATCCATTTGGACAATGGTAAACATGATTGGTTGATTTTTCAGTTCAGTAATTGTCAGACATCAAACTTAACCCTCTGGTAATTCATTAACCTCTTCCTGATGTTAACAAAACCTAATTATTTCTAACCATGCACTCTCTGCCCCTGGCCCAGCCCCAACGCTGGTACCAAACCAATAAGGGACTTTGATGGTACAAAGATTCAGAAGAAACTTGACACCATTAGGCCAAACCACCTTGGAGCTAGAGGGATAAACTGCCTAAGCCATTCTGCCCAAGGTTTCAAAGGCAAAACATACCCTTTGACTCTCTAGTCTCCCCCTGCCTAAGCCATAGTCTAAGATGTCTGTTCACTTTGTGCTCATGGACAATCATTTGGTCCTTTCTGCAAATTTCAAATACCAGGCAATTCTGTAGTCACCAAATCAGACTATTTTCACTTTATGGCTCTCTTAAGAGAAAGTGGCAAATTTATGGCTCTTCTGAGAGTAAGCAGCATAATGTTCTGCCCAACGCCAAGCGCTGACTCTGTTACCTTATTACACAGATTAGACACTCAGACCAATTCATTTGCAGTAGTAAATAAGGAATAAAATCTGTAAACAATGAGTGGGATTTTACTGTTACACTTGAAGAAAGTATGAAGTGGGCATGTAGTGTTAAATAAAGAAGGCATTGTTCTTCCTAACAGGTTATCTAGAGAGGTGGCAGAGAGGGAGGAAAGCGATCTTTCCCAATTTACCAGCTCGCTTTCACTACCTTCAGGGTTTCACAAAACTAGAAGGTTTTCTGAAGGAGCGGATTATAGCATTTTGAAGGATGAGGTCTTGGTACTAAGCATATCCAATACTAATTAGGGTAGGGAAGTTGGATCACAGAATGGGGAGGCTATAGGCAACAGGGTCTAGGCTAACACAAAACTATTCACTTCTGCTCAGGGTTTGTGTGTGCACAGCAGTGCTCATCAGTCTACACTTGGATGGCACTAAATATATAAATAATGCCCTTGTGAAGAGAGATGTTACCAGGGACAGGAGACCTGAACCCAACATACCAGGATAGAGCAGCTAGCTCCCAGTAAATTTAGGAATTTCTCCTTGCCCCCTCTCTAGATGAGTAGGATTGTACTTTGTCAAGTAAGATTAGGAAACCCCTGCTCCCAATTCTGGCGCTGGGTGAAAAGAGCTCTGCATTCTTTGAGGTTCTCTCAGTGTACCCTTGGCTGAGATCAGCCCAACTCATCCAGTCTAGGCAAAAGAGAACCCAGAGAGAAATTGAGTCCCTTGCAGTAAAAAGCCTGGAATATTTCCAAGCAAAGAGATGCCAAGGGGAAGAAGAAACAAAGAAAGGATAGGAACATTATGGAGGTAGGTGGAGAGCCACTTCCCAGAGTGCAGGGTCTTTAGGGCTCTGATTCTCTACTCAGAGGACAAAGGAAAAAAAAAAAAAGCTCCTCATGCCTGCATGCATCCCTCTAAGCCTTTTGTCCCCTAGCTGAGGGATCTCATATAACTACTTCCCAGGAAAGTCAAGCTCAGGCAGGCAGGGCTCTTGTTAGAAGCAGTGCAGGCCTCAGAGTACTTCTACCCCATGTGGCATGAGCTACATATCCAGCACCCTTAAGAGGACAGAGCCCTTAGGTTAGTTTCTACAAAGTGCAAAGCAGAGACACTGGTCCCTTAAGAGACCTTGGAGCAGAAAGCTGACCTTATGACCTGGCCTCTGCTCCATAGCTGGGAGGTCCTGGGTCTCTGTCTCAAGTTTCTAGGCCCTGAGGTCACTGCCTAGGTCAGAGCATTGATGCAGAAGGGGTTACAAAGAAATAAGAGGAGGGAGGAAGGACTGAGGACCATTCTGGACAGACTGTTAAGCTGATATCAGGGTGGTTACATAGATTCCAGAAGCGTGGCCGATAGTGGGAGGAAAAAAAAAACCTATTAAATTCTCTTCTGAAATTTAAGAACCCAAGAACCGGAACCTCCTATCCATTCCAGTTTGCGTTTGTTTTTCAAGCCCCTTTGCTATCCCCTAACAGCATGGGATGAAAAACAAAATTCCCATTGGCCAGAACCAAGTTATAAATTGTAATCTGGTTCTAACAGGTACAGGACCAGAAAAGTCCTCAGTTTGATTGTTTTGTGTAAATCTTTGCTGCTAGAGTTTTTAAGTGTCTCTTATCTATTAAGAGACACTGTAGTACATTTAAAAAGAAATCCTTCTTCAGACCCCTGCACCTGACATCTAGCCATACCTGGTTTTGGAGGAGGAACCCCTGACATCCTGCTGATTTCAGAGGCACAGGGTGGCCTCAGCTGAAGCTTTTACCCTCAGCCACTGCACTGATTTAAGCATCGAGTGCTCACATAGAAGCCTGAGCCCTGTTTGAAGGCAAAAAGGCAAAGCTAAGATGGAGAGATAAACTTCCCTTCCCTAACCTACTCCCTAAGGCACCTGCATTTCCAGGCCAGAAGAGCAAAAAGTTATGGTGAGGGCACAGGGAAGGGTGAGAGAGGCACCGAATGGACCTTTGCTAAAACCCTCTGGGCTAACACACACAGCCAAAGAATTCACTAATGCCCTTTGGAATCACTTCCCAATCATTAAGCAGGAAGGGTGAGGAAACAGTAAAAAGTTAGATAGGTGAGACTCCTCTTCAAGAGGCTAGTTCAGCCCCTTCTCAAACTCAGGACTGGGAAGCTTCCAAAACCTTAATTTAGGCTAGCTAAGGTGGCCTCAGGATCTTAGCAACCAATGCCCTGGCACATAAGGAAGCCTCATAGGAAGAATAGGATGGGATCCCTTGTAATAGTGTTACCAGTGTGCCAAGGAGGCACGTCCCCTAATGGGGTTCATGGGAAGTGTGGGACAGAGAGACAGCTCTGGAGCCAGCAACGCCTGCACTATGTAGAACTCTCTGACTGACCTCCTTACTCAATCAAGTTCCACAACAGAATTTCACCCCACATGGTGGGGATTCCTCAATTGCTGTGTTTCTATACAACCTCAAGGACTAGGCTTTCTGACCTTGACTTCTAATCTTTGTCAATGGGATACACAACCCCCAGCCAGGAAGGAGAATGGGGCAGGGACATATGCTGCCAGTCTAACCAGACTGAGATGGATTCAGGGCTCCAATACACAATGCCAATAAGGAGCCTGCCACCCCTTTCAATTCTCATAGAGACTGAGGAACCTGGCTTACAGAATTAATTTTCTAAACTTTCAGCGACACATTTTGTCTTTTGACCTCATGTGGGCCTCAAGTCTTGTCCCAACTGCATTAATCTTCTCTTAGAAGATGGTTACGAGAGCAGCGGGCTGCTTTCCCCATTTCTATGCTAAATGTATAATAAATTACGAATTTAAATCAAGTCATATTTTCCATAGGAAGAGCAAGGGTGAGGTTTGGTAAGAATAAGCTGGGTCTAATGACCCCAGCAATTACAGACTCAGAGAGACTTCAGGAGCAGAGGCCTAACTTGAAATAAAACAGAAAGGTTTTGTACTCAGACAGTACAGAGTGTGTTCGAAGTGCTAAGTGATAAGGAACGTGCTCATATTCGTACCCCATACGTGGTAGATTCTGAGGGGAAGGTGCTGCCTACGGTGCCCCAGAAAACCTGGATCAAGCCAGGATCAAAACTGTAACTTGAAGTATTCTGCTGCCCCCCGGAAGAGTCCAGAAGGCAAGAAAAGCAGAGGTAAAAGAGCAAGGGTAGCAGACAAACAGATGGACCATGATCCTTGTTTTGTGGAGGCTTGGCCCGGAGGAGAGGAAACTATCGAGGTGAATCGCCAAAAGATGGAGAGAGTTGTGCTGCAGTAAGATCAAAGCCACAAAATGCAGGAGGGGAGGGGATGGGTGGGAAAGTGTTGGGGTAAAACAAGTACTGAGAGATGACCATCACTATTGGAATCATCCACAATCTAACCAGTCCCACTGGCCAGTCCCCGACTGACAAGTAAAAGTAGCCCCTACCTAGCCTACTCCATCCTTGGCCTTACCGGAGGCCTTGACGACAGACATTTGGTAGGGTGGGGCGGCTTGGCGCAGAGAACGTACCGAAAAGGTCACTGTACAAAGGTACTGGTAACGTTGGCAAAAGTGGGAGACACGCTTGGCTAGATCAGATCATAGAGCGCTTGGTAGGTGCCCAGCACAAACCCAGTGAAGCCCAAGACGCTAATCAAGATGTCCTTAGCAATGGTGATGGGGCTCATGCCTTCTGAGTAATACGTAGTGATCTCCAGGAGTGGAGGGATGATCAGGGCCAGGGCGCTGCTGCTCACAGAGCCCACCAAGGAGATGAAGAGGTCTAGTCGAGGGATCAAGATGGCCAAGACACCTGCAGGAGGAGAAGAAACTTCTATTTATGATCAGCCTATGAAAGAACAAGAAGAGAGCACTTGCCCCTTTTCCTTGGCATCATCCCTAACATTCTCTCCTTTACTCTGAGCTCTGATGAAGGAATTGCCTTCTCCTTTCCAAGGCCAATAACCCTTTTACACATACCTTTGATCCCCTCTCCTTTAAGTAAACTGCTCCTGCTATCATCCTTTTCTCCCTCTAATCTTCTATCTCTACCTATGTACTGGTTCCTTCCCCTACGCCTACAAATATGACCACGTTTCCCCCACCACCATCTTTAAAAATCCTCACTAGACCCTACTGTCCCTATATGCAACTGTCTTATCTTTCTCTTACCTCCCTTAGCCAAACTCCTTGAAAATGCTGTCTCTACTTATTAGCTTCACTTCCTTTCCCTTCCCCCTCTTCTAATCTCCCTATGATATAGTTTCCAATTTTATCACTCTTCCAAAGTCACCTGTGGTTTCTGCATTTCTAAATGGGATGCCCTTTTCTCGATCTTCATCCTCTTGGCCTCTTCACAGCATTTGATTCTGACCACCCTCTCCTCATGGGTATTCTTTCCTCTTCGGATTTTTGTGGCCCTATCTTCTCTTGGTTCTCCTCCCACCCACCTGGCTTTTCATTCTCAGCCTTTTTTTGGTGGATTGTCATCCACAACACATCTCCTAATTATAGGTACTCTCAAAGGCTCTGGATTTGGTCCTCTTACCTCTCTACACTCTCAGTGAGCCCATCAGCTCATAGTACTTCTCTATGCTGGTGACTCCCAGAATATGTTCTTAGCCCTAGCCCCTCTGCCAAGCTCTAGGCCCATATCACCAGTTACCTACTGGACAATTCAAATAGGAAATTCCATGGACATTAGAAACTCAATTATGTCCAAAAGAGACCTCAACATCTTCCCCCTCCCCCAAGTCCTGCCCCCACTCCCAAACATTCTTATTTCTGTTAAAGGTACCAACATCCTTCCAGTGAGTCAGGCACCACAAGCTCAGGGTTACCTCTGACTCCTCCCCACATATTCAATCAACAGTCAAATCTCATAGTTTCTACCTCCACAGTATCTCTTGAATCCACCTTCTCCTCACAACTTATACAGTCACCATCTTAATTCTGGCCCTCAACACTCGTTGCTTGGACGATTCCAACAGCTTCCAAATCAGTCTCCCTTCCTCACCTTTCCCCTCTTAATCCCTCCTTTCACACAGCTACCGAACTGATTTTCCTAAAATGCAAACCTGACCACATTACTCTGTCCTCACTAACTCCAATGATTCCCTATTGCCTCCAGGATCAAATAAAAATTCCTCTGCTTGGCATTTAAAGTTCTTCAAAACCTGCCTCTAGCCTACCTTTGTAACCTTATTGTACATTACTACCCTTCGTGCAAACTGTGGTCCAACCAAGCTGTTCTTATATAAAGCATGCCATCTCCTGCCTTGGTACTTTTGAACCAGCCGTTTCCCCTGCCAGATGTGCTTCCAGCTCTCAGAATCCCAACTTTCCTTCATGGCCACCAGCTTGCACAAGAGGCCCTTCTTGAGCCTCCCCACTGCTAGTCTCTCCCCTTGACCTCAAATCTATTTTGCCTATTCCTCTATATGTACAAGTTGCCTCCCTTCACCAGACTGTACAGTTCTGGGAGGGCAGGAACTGCTCCAACTTTTGCTTTTGTGTCCCCCGTGCCTAAAGCAGTGCTTGGCACACAGGAAGCATTTACTTAATAAACATTTGTGGATTGACTCACTTCCTGCTGAGAAAGAATAATGTATAATATAATACATCATATTAATATAGTCATTTGTGGTTTATTAAAAAGTTTCTGGTTTATTAAAAAGTTTCTTCATGTATTATTTCAAATCAGCCTGAATGGGGGGAAGGGGTTGACTACAACTGATAGAATAAGCCAAGGTTTCGTGAGGTTTAGGGTTCTGCCCAAATTCACACAGCTAGTATGTGGTGGGGTTTGGACCAGAAAGGCCCTCAATCTCCTAAAATAAGCCCAAGACTTCTTTCAAATTCATCACTCTGCATGGCAGGCTCGGTTCTAACAGACTCCCTTCTCTGCTTCGATTGCCAGAGGTTAGCACAGCACACAGTAAGCACTTTGGGATGCAGGAAGCACTTACGAGACACACTTCTCACTCACTGAGTGTGGTACAGTGAGGTACAATGCTGGAGTCAGGAGGACTGAGTTACAGTCCCATTAATTCATTCTGTGACCTTAGGCAAGTAAACCTCTCTGAATATTATTTCCCCTTCGATAAAATGGTAGGAAGACTAGATCTCTAGAGTTCTTTCCAATTCTAATACACTGCATTCAATTAAATTCAACAAACATTTATTAAGCACTTACTATGTTCTGGAGACAGCTAGATGGCACAACGGATAGAGAGCTAGGCCTGGACTCAGGAAGGCTCATCTTCCCAAGTTCAAATCTGGCCTCAGACACTTGCTAGCTGTGTGACCCTGGGCAAGTCATTTAACCTCGTTTGCCTCAGTTTCCTCATTTGTAAAATGAACTGAAGAAGGAAATGGCAAACCATGCCAATATCTTGCCAGGAAAACCTCAAATGAGGTCACAAAGAGTTATAAACGACTGAACAACAACTATGTTCCAGGCACAGTACTAGGCACTGGAAATAACAATACAAAAATGAAAGTCTTTCTCCTCAAGGAACTTACATTCTACTGGAGGAAAACAAAAGTGCACAGATAAATTAATACTAAATATATACAAAGTAATTTGGGGGTAAAGGCATCAGCCACTGGAAAGACCAGGAGAGGCTTCAATTAGAAGGTGGCATCAGAGCTGAGCTGGAGCTGAGCAGGGAGTCGTCCTAAGGTCCTTTCCAGCTCTGAAATTCTCTGATCCCAAGAAAACCAGAAAGAAGAGGGGGAAAAAGTAATTTGATGCTCTCTCTCCTAATTTTTCATTTTCTTGCCACTGGAAGTGTCTTCCACAGATTACAGCTTGCCCTAACAAAGAGAGAGAAAACACAATCTCCTTCCACAAAAAGCTTCTATACACCCTGATGGGGATGTAATCTGCAGGGAAGGAAAGTGCCTCTAATGGAAAATCAGAGATCACTGCATTCCCAGACCACAATAACCTCATTGTTTATTGCATAATTGCATTTGAGACCCAGCTGAGCTCATCTGAGGGAGGTAAAAGTCATTTTTCCTTGAACCATCTTGGATTTAGTTAAGATTCTCTGCCAACCCTTTTATGTTTCCATATCAAGCCTAGCACTATACAAATTATTAAGGAAAGTGATATTAATGGTAAAACGGAATAGTGACAATGTCTGTGTTGTGGACATATAAGGGAAGCCTCCTATCTCAGAAGGCACCTGTAAATTCTTTTTAGAAAAAATTCAATTTCATTTTATTTTCATGAAGATCTGCTTTCTCTACCTTCTCTTTCCCCCACCCCACCATCTCTCCTGTCCCCCCACTGAGAAAGCAAGAAAAACAAAACTTCTATTACAAATATGTGTGTGTGTGTGTGTGTATGTGTGTGTGTGTGTGTGTGTATGTGTATATGTATATATAGTCAAACAAAACTTAGGGTCAGCTAAATAGTACAATGCTGGTCTTAGAGTCAGGAAGACCTCAGCTCAAATCCAACCTCAGACACTAAATAGCTGAGACTCTGAGCAAGTCATTTCACCTCTATTTACCTCAGTTTCCTCAACTTTAAAATGGGAATAATAATATCACCTACCTGCCAGAGTTGTCATGAGGATTAAATGAAATGTCTGTACGGTGCTGCCTGGCACACAGTAGGCGTTACATAAATGCTAACTATTATTATTATTAATGCAAATCCATACACTGGCCTTGTCTAAAAAAGCTATGTCTCAAATCCACTTCTTTATCTGGAGGTGGGTAGCATGTTTCATCATGAGTCCTCTGAAATGTGGATGGTCATTGTTATTGGTCAGGGTTCCTAAGTTTTTCAAAGTTGTTTGTTTTTTTCCAATATTGCTGTTATTGTATAAATTTTTCTCCTCATTCTGCTCAGTTCACTCTGCATAAATTCATATAAGTCTTCTCAGCTTTTTCTGAAACCATCCCCCCATATGATTTCTGATAGCATATTCCATCATATTCATATACCATAAATTTTTCAACCATTGCACAATGGATGGGGACCTCTCAATTTCAAATTCTTTGCCACCACAAAAAGAGCTACCGTAAGTATTTTGGTACAAATAGGTCATACTTCTCTTTCTTTCATCTCTTTGAGGGTACAGCCCTATCCATTTTCTCCAGCCCTATCTTCCTCAGTCGAACTTTAAACTTACACGCTGGGTAAATTCTAACCCAGGGATGGGGAATCTGTGGCCTCCGGGCCACATGTGGCCCTCTAGGTCCTCAAGTGAGGCCCTTTGACGAATCCAAACTTCCCAAAACAAATTCCCCTAATAAGAAGATTTGTTCTGTAAAACTTGGACTCAGTCAAAAGGCCACACCCGAGGACCACAGGCCACACGTGGCCTCGAAGCCACAGGTTCCCCACTTCTGTCCTAACCCCTCCTCTAAGGGCTTCTAACTGCTAAGTGCCACGTTCTCTAGGGAAAAGGAGTCCCTTCTTATACAGCAGCTCAGTGGAGAAGAAAGAAGACCTCAGTTTGAGTCCTAGCTCCAAAATTCTTAGTTGTGTGACGCTGGGGAAGTCACTTCCTCTCTTAGGTTCCTGTTTTATAAAATGTGGATAACAGTACTTGTATTTCCAGTGTCACTGGGCTGCTGGGAGAATCAAAGGTGATGACATTTGTAAAATGTTTTGTAAACGTAACAGGGGGTATAAATATAATAGATTGTTACAGTAACTAAAATGCACTGGTCTAGCTTGCCTTTTTGCCTCCTTCACTGTCCTCAGGGGAAAAGCTTAGAATACGGAATGTCAGAGCCAGAACGGACTTTATAGAACATAGAACGGATGGACGGGACTTTTAGTTCAATGTT